CTTACTGAAGCAGCACCCTCTGGGCTGTCCACCTTTTAAATGGAGTCTTTCAGAGTTTTGCAGACACATGGGAATAGTCATTGGAATCTTTTCAATTTCTTGGACAGTTCTGAGTCTGGTCAGTCTAGGTTTTCACACGATCCTGATATACGGCTGCAGTTTGTGCTGCTCCATTGGCTATTTGACCATTAGAATGGTCAATGGTCAGGCCTGAGTGATCAGTACTGAGCAAATGGATGGAGTGGTGGATTGAGAAGGTTCCAGGTCCTGTTGGACTTCATTCTAGGGTCTTGAAAAAAAATAAATAAGAGGCAACAGATGCAATTGTGTTAATTTTCCAAAGTTTGTTAGATGCTGGAAAGACTCCAGACTTGAAAGTAGCAAATTGTACCCCTCTATTCAAGCAAGGCAGAAAACTACAGGTCAATTAGCTGGTCAACAGTCATGGAGAAGGTGATTGACTTGACCATTAACAGATGGTTATAACTGAGCATCTGGAAAAACAAGGTAAATCGCAAACAAAAAACCCAGCACGATTTATGAAAAGGAGAGTGTTTAAACAATTCATTGGGAATTCTTAGTATCATGATGGATAATAAAGACCATTGATGTTACTTGGATTTCCAAAAGGCATTTGACAAGATTTCACGTAAAAAGGTTATTGCACAATATTAGCAGCTTGTGTTGGGGGTAACGTACTACTATAGATAGAAGATTGTGCTTTCTGCGAGCCAGATAAGTGTTTTTTTTCCCGCCGATTGGCAAAATGTAACAAGTCCTGGGAGGCTGTGCAGGGCCAGCAACTTTTTACAATTCATATCAAAAGATGTAGATGAGGGGAGTCAGCCACACAGGCAAAATTTGCAAAGTACACAAAGGTAGGTAGGAAAATATATTGAGAGAGGACATTATATATCCGTCTGCATCCTTAAGAGAACATGCCGAAGCCTGGAAGATGCAGTATAATGTGGCGAAAATGTGAATCACATGGGCAAAAAGAACAAAAAAAAGTATTGTTTAAACTGAATGACTGCAGAATTTTGAGATGCTGATGTTTTAGAACAAAGAAAGTTACAGCACAGGAACAGGCCCTTCAGCCTTCCACGCCCACGTCGACATGCTGCTGAACTAAAACCCCCTACACTTCCAGGGACCATGTCACTCTGTTCTCATCCTATTCATGTATTTGCCAAGACGCCCTTTAAGTCACTATCGTATCTGCTTCCACCTACCTCACCCTGGCACCAAGTTCCAGGCACCCACCACCCTCTTAAAAAAAAAACAAACTTGCCTCATACATCACCTTTAAACCTCACCCCTCAAACCTATGCCCCCTAGTAACTGACTCTTCCACCCTGGGAAAGAGCTTCTGTCTGTCCACGCCCTTCATAATCTTCTAGACCTCTATCAGGTCACCCCTCAACCTTAGTCATTCCAGTGAGAACAACCCAAGTTTCTCCAACCTTCCCTAATAGCTAATGCCCTCCATACCAGGCAACATCCTGGTAAATCTTCTGTACCCTCTCCAAAGCCACTACATCCTTCTGGTTGCCATGCGACCAGAATTGAACACAATATTCCAAATGCAGCCTATAAAAAGGTTCTATAAAGCTGCAATATTACCTGCTAGTTTTTAAACTCAATGCCCAAGCCTTGTTGACAACCTTCTCCACCTACATGGCCACTTTCAGTGACCCGTGTAACTGTACACCCGGATCCCTCTGCCTATCAGTACTCTGAAGGGTTCTGCCATTTACTGTATATTTTCCATTTGGATTAGACCTTCCAAAATGCACCACCTCATTTTTCCAGATTAAACTCCATCTGCTATCTCTCTGCCTATGTCACCAACCGATCTATATCCAGCTGTATCCTTGGACAGTCCTCAGTTATCCGCAATTCCAAAAACCGGTGTCATCGGCAAACGTAAATCAGACCAGTTACATTTTCCTCCAAATCATTTATATATATTACAAATAGCAAAAGGTCCAAACACTGATCCCTGAGGAACGCCAGTGGTCACAGCCCTCCAATCAGAAATGCACCCTTCCACTGCTACCCTCTGTCTTCTATGACTGAGCCAGTCTTTTTAAATCCATTTTGCAAGTTCACCTCTGACTCTGTGACTTTACCTTGTGTATCAGCCTACCATGAGGGACCTTGTCAAAGGCCTACTGAAGTTTATGTAGACAACATCCACTGCCCTACCCTCAAAAAACTCAACCAAGTTAGTAGGACACGACCTCTCCTTCACAAAACAAAGTTGCCTCTCATGAAGATGCCCACTTATTTCCAAGTGGGAGAAAATCCTGTCTCAAAGAATCCTCTCCAATAATTTCCCTATCACTGACGTAAGGCTCATCAGCCTGTAACTAGCTGGATTATCCTTGCCACCCTTCTTAAACTAAGGAACAGCACTGGCTATTCTTCAATCCTCTAGAACCTCCCTTGATGCCGGTGAGGATACAAAGATTTCTCAAGGCCCCAGCAATTTCTTCCTTTGCCTTGCCTAGTATTCTGGGATCCCATCAGGTCCTGGGGACTCGTCTACTTTAACGTTTTTCAAGACCCCAATACCTCCTCTCTTTTGATCTCAAGATGACCCAAACTATCTACACACCCTTCCCCAGACTCATCATCCACCAAGTCCTTCTCTATGGTGAACACTGACACAAAATACTCTTAATACCTCACCCATTTCCTCTGTTCCATGCAAATTCCCTTCCCTGTCCTCGAGTGGGCCAACCCTCGCCCTGGCTACTTTCTTGGTGCTTTATACATGTATAAGGAGCTGGGGATTTTCCTTAATCCTGTTGGCCAATGACATTTCATGACCCCTTTAGCTCTCCTGCTTGCTTAAGTTTCTTTTGACTTTTCTTGTATTCTACCCTTGCTTCGTGTTCTCAGCCTCCTAGCCTTGATAAATGCTTCCTTTTTCTTTTTGATTAGGCTCACAGTATCTCTCATTATCCAAGGTTCCCTAAACTTGCCATACTTATCCTTAATCTTTACAGGAACGTACCGGTCCTGAGTTCCCCAGCAACTTACACTTGAAAGCCTTCCACACACCAAATGTTGATTTGCCCTCAAACATCTGCCTCCAATCTACATTCTTCAGCTCCTGCCTAATACTGTAGTAGTCAGCCTTCTCCCAATTTAGGACTTTCACCTGACAACTACACTTATCTTTATCCATTAATACCTTACAGCTTACTGAACTGTGATCACTGTTCCCAAGCTGCTCCCTTACGGTGACGTCAACCACCTGGCCAGGCTCATTCCACAATATTAGGTCCAGTACGGCCCCTTTCCTAGTTGGGCTATCTACATACTGTTTCAAGAAGCCCTCCTGGATGCTCCTTACAAACTCTGCCCCATCTGCACTCCAACCAGAGTCCCAGTCAATATATGGGAAGTTAAAAATCACCCTCAACAACAACTCTGTTAACTTTCACATCTTGCCAAAATCTACATATCTGTTCTTCTATCTCCTGCTGGCTATTGGGAGGCCTATAGTAAACCCCAAACATTGTGATTGCACCCTTCCTGTTCCCGAGCTCTAACCATATTGCCCTGCTGTATGAGCCATCTGAGGTGCCCTCCCACAGTACAGCTGTGATATTCTCCTTAACAAGTAGTGCAATTCCCCCATTCCTTTTCCATCCCCTTCTACCCCCCTGAACAATTTGTTTCCTGGAACATTAAGCTGCCAATCTTGTCCCTCCCTTAACCAAGTCTCTGAAATAGCAACATCATAGTTTCAAGTACTAATCCGAGCTCTAAATTCATTTGCCTTACCTGTTGCACTTGAATCCACCAGACCCACTTTGATCAGCGATTGACCTGCCTGCTCTTCCTGAGCATTACTGGCCCTGTTCTCTAGTTCCCTTTCAGTCAATTCACATTTACTTTGGTTCCCAAACCCCTGTCAAGCTAGTTTAAATCCTCCCAAATGACACTTGACAACAGCCCCTCCACAAACCACCTTCTGGAAGCAGTGACTGCACTGATGCAGATCTTCCCCACATCAGCCAATCAACGTCACCACTCTGCTGCTCTCTTCTGGGTGATTGAGTCACAAAAATTAGTGTACATATACAGCAAGTGATTAATGTGGCTAGCCTTCACTGAGAGGGATTGAACATAAAAGATAGGATGTTTCAAATATTCAGGGCATTGGAGAGGCAGCACATCAACTTTGTGCTTTTTTGGTCTTATTTACAAAAGGTAGAATCTAAATGTGTTGGAGGTGGCTCAGAACAGGTTCACTAGATTGAGACTTCGAATGAGCAGGTTGTCTTATGGAAATAATCCACAGGATGGGTTTGTTTCCAATGGAGTTTAGAAGAGTAGAGTAAGGGATGAATTCATTGAAGTTCAAGATTCTGAATGGAGTTGGAAAGGATATACCCTCTTGTGGGCAAGTCCAAGACTAGGGAACACTGTTCAGAAAAACACAATGGCCACCCGTTAAGACAGAGAAGATTGGTAATTTTCTCTCTGGATTATGCAATTTTGAAACAGTTTCAGAAGGTGCCAGAATCTTAATTTTGTTAGATTAAGGAATCAAAGAGTTACCAGAGGTAGATGGAAATGTGGAATTCAGAACACAGACATATCAGCCATGATCTTATTGAATGGAGGTGTGGCTCGAAAGGTCAAATGGTCTACTTCTGCCCCTAATTTGTATGGCCCTATTTTCTACTTGGTCAAGAAATCACTAGACTACTTTTTAGGAAGGGGGCTTCAAGGCACTAGGATTTTATGCATAAAATCCTATCAGTTGTCTAAAGGAATAGTGAATTAGATCTTTTAGTGAAACAAGCAAATTAAAGGTTTTTCAGAATGTGTGGGGGAAAAACACAAGCTGTTGCTACTTCTGAAAATCCTTACTTTGTAACAAACGACAGTCAGGATTAGCAACTACAAAAATAATTGAAAACCTTTGTAAAAAGTTTAAGTTGATAAAGCAAGTCTGCAGAAGTAAAGTCACACAGGAGCACAGTTTGCAATACTGATCTTTTATAATTAATACAAAAATAGCTTTCAAAAACAAATTGCATGTAACTCGTAAATTTACACATTCATGACAAGTTTGAGACAGTTAATAGCCAATATAAAAATACAAATTACAGAATTTCTCATATGGCCAAAATGTTAAGCATTTTACACGGTCCATTTCCAGATGTCAGAGGGAATGAAGATAGTAAGTTCCTGAATTACTAATAGTTGGTGTAAATCAGCAAAGAAGTCACCAGCTCAAAACTGAAGGAATTTGAACCACAGTGTGGATTTTAATTCTTGCCTTTAGGCTAGACCAAGATCAAACTATAACTGAGAATTTAGTTATAAGTTTGAACAGCAAACAAAGGATACTTGCCACCAAGACAACTCAGGCAAAAATACACGTAGATTAAAATGGTTTTAGAAATACCAAGGAACACATTCATTGATTCAAACTACTAGTCCAGCAATGGTCTACGCTTAACCTGTTCAAAATAAAATTGTATGACAGTCTGTGCTTAGTCTAGATACTTTTCACTTCAAACAAACATGGTATTTGTTACTGTTAAACAGCAAGACTGGACATTTGAAGTTAACTTACTAACAGTGACAAGTAAACAAGGTTAAAGACGATGACAGCTGTTTGCTGAACCTCAGGAATTAGGAAAAACACCAGTTATCCGCTGTCAGTTAATGCATTTTCAAAATGCATAAAAATAGAGGTTTGATTTTTTTCCCCCCCGCCCAGAGAAGTGCAAGCAACACAAATAGGATGACAGAAGAAACAAAATAAACTTAATTTTTTCATTCTGGAGCTCCACTTGTTAGAAAAATTGAGAGAAGCAATTTCTTTCTTTTGGGTAAAAACAGTGTCAAATTATTTAAGTTAGAAAATAACTCTCTCACTTGAACCTTGACCCTTCCTGGACTGAACTAGACAAATCTTACACCAGCTATATTTCAATACCAGTTTCAAACAACATTTAGTGACATGTTCATATTTACTTGTGAAAGGACATGGTTTCAAAAGAAATTGCTTACTTTCAGTAATAGTTTTAAAACAGTAGCAAATTAATTTTTTTTTCAAGGAAGTCTCACCAATCCATAGAACATACTGGTAAGCATGATCTGTTAAATACACTCTGCATGCAAGAAACTATTTTGCAGATAAATGTAAAATATAGCTGGAGAAGCCAAAAAAGTGGTAAAGCAGTTAAAACTTGCAGAATATACATTTTTTTTAAAAAAGAAAAAATTCTTGCTTGTATCTCCATTTTAAGTAACACCAAATGATTTATAAAATCATACCAATAATGCACTGCTAATTTGGGATTGTAACATATTTCAAACGCATAAAGTGACTTCCCAAAATAAAGTGATGAAAAACAGCCTGAGAGATTTAGATGAAATTCAAAGTTTTTTAAAAAAACAATAAATAATTAAATATAAATAAACTAGACAGATGGATGGGTATGGGGATAGTGGAAGCAATAAAGTTAGAGCACCAAACTTTAGTTATACTATTTCAAAACCCAATTTTGCAGTTGGAGGAACAATGATCAGAAACAAAATCCTACAGTTTGTACATGGTCTGCAAGACATCTAACCTCAGTTGGGATAGGCCAAAGAGCACTACATTTGGGGGCAGCAAGAAATGATCAAGCTTTTAATCCCCAATTCAATTTCAGTGGATTCAATTTCATTCCTTTAAATTAAAGTAAAAAAGGGACTAAAAGAGATAAGAGCAGTAATGCTTTTCTTTATCACATAAATGAAAAGATAGCAAGGAGCATTGAAACAAATGTTTTGTTTATCCTATTAGAGAATGTAACATATCTTAAAAATGCAGAAAAGATAAAGAGGTCTGTAACTTAAGTTTATGATACATATTTATTACCTTAGTGGCATGAAATCATGTCATAAAGGATTTTACAAAGAGAAGTCAATAGGAATGAACCAGTCAATTATATTTCAGAATTGTTTTACAAAATGATGTTTTCCAAATAATTTTTCTTCACAGTGGTCATGTCTGGATAGGTGCAGAAGAGAGTTTGGAATCATTAATCCATTATGTGCATGGCAGAGCAGAAGTACAGATGGGTTTTAGTGGTACATGACATTGAGTGAATGAGGGAGGGAGGGAGGAAACGAGTTAAGCTTAAGATACTAAATCACCTATGCAAAGTTTACAAGGCCAACTGAAGTACTGTCTAGATGTTTTAACAACAACAGCACCAATTTATGGGGCTGAAATTTCAAATAATGGATCATCACCAAGGCATCAAAAAAAAAGCACATTAGTGACCAACTTAATTCAGGTCATTAAAACATATACATTCAAGTTTTGCTATTTTTAAATATTGTATTTACACAGGGCAATCAAAGTTACATTTTGAAATCTAGTCTGAAAAGCTACCCAATGGTTGTTTATATACTGGTCATAAAACGGTGGTTCCACTTGACTCTCTGTGCACCAGCAGGAGGAGTAACATTCTTCGTTTAGAAGGCTAACTACTAATCCATACATCTCAGATTTAATAAAATTAATTTTTCAGGCAGAAGTAAAGGAGGGAGCAATTTGGGCAATGATGAAAAAAAGAGAAAAGCAATCATTTGGTTTGATTGTCTTCCATTCCAGTGAGACAAACATCAAATACATAGATATAGATCTTTATGCAGACATATAATGAAAATAAATTTAAACATTAGAAGAGAAGTTCGGAAAAAGTGGTTACTAACAGCTATCGAGCACTATAGAAGTTGCTCACATCTCAAACTCTTACCAAAACAAAAATAATTTAAAATCCACATGTGTGGTGAAAACAATTAAAACTAGTCTTGATGGGATAATTTCCTCTAACATTCTTGAAACAGTTACCACGCTTGAAAAGGAGGTGATATTTTCTTGCAATTTTTATAGTTTCCAGATGGTCTGCATCAAAATGAAGTACTGTAATAAATTACTTTACTTCAACAAGACAGTCAGTTCAAGAGGAGGACATTTCTGTGGAGGAGCCTCCTCTTAAAGATGCTAACTCCTGACAATGAAGAACAGCGTCATGCACAGAATGAAACAGGAGACTTCTTGGAGTTGATTTGTCAAAAAAATTCCATTTAGTCAGATTTTCCACAACACAGTCTACAAGCAAAACAAAAAATAAGTGAAAACAGAATTTAACATGAGACAATAATCTAAGCAAAATAGGCTGTGAAGTTTTTTGAGATGGTAACATCCTTGAACAAGCAACGCTACACTCCAGACAGCAAGGTCTTCAATGACAGCAATCATTGTTTATAATTTGGTATTTATAAAAGCAAAAACACTAGCCAATTTGTAGTCTAGTTCTATTGCCACATTTCACTGGGTACTTTAGCTTGAAACTAAAGTACATTTTCAGGAAGTGTAATGGACAAAAACATAATTGCCTGTTTCCTATGAAATATGGATAAATATTACATTAAATGAATAAAGCACGTTGTAATCAATCGGGATTCTTAAGTGGAAAATAACAGTGATTGCAAAGATGAGATGTTTTCCAAAGTGACTGTTACAAAACCACTAACGACCGGCCCGAGGCCTGGATGGCTTCTTTTTGAAGCATATATTCTCCTCAGGTCTCGGTCTAAAGGTAACTGACTAATGGAAATCATATTTCCTCTCCTAAATGTGAATGTTCAATTTCAAACCATTTCTCAACACTAATTGTCTCAAACACAAAATCTACAGGGTATTGGAAACAATGGATATGAATGTGGTTGGGTGGGGTCAAGGCACACTGTTGCTGTTAATGTTGCAATCTAGATCTGGCCACAGTACCTCTGAATTATTACTACAAAAACCAAATGCTCATGACCAAAATATTTTGAACAAGCTGTTACAAAGATGACATTTCAACATGTCCCCAGCAGCATCACACTTACCTTTGCATCCAGCTATGAAGACGTTGATTCCAATGCTGTCATATTCCTTTATTATCTAAAAATGAACATTAAAAATAAAACAAATATATCAATTGAGATTAAATATTGGCATGCATTAACCAGGATGTTAATAAAGGTCCAGGTTTAGCCTCTTCCAGTGGTTTGTTGTTGGTACAGGATACTGTGTAGGCAGAGACCACAGATCAAGAATTAGATGTGTCAAGTTAATTTAGTTCAAATCAGGTCAACAACAGGAACATTTTCAAACGCTAGATGCAAAAATGATCCCTGTTCTTCCAACTATGCACAAAATAGGAGTTACTGCACAAATCAGCTCAGCTGCAATACACCCCCATGGCAAAAGAACAATTCTTGATTAAGAATTCCTGATAATAAATGAGCAAGGTTCAAGAGGTTGTGTTTCTACAAACAAAAACATTTCTGATTTGTGCAAGAAGAAATAACAAGCATCTTTCTTTCAGATTAATTAGATGAATTGGGAGCATTAGAACAAACTATTGAATATAATGAACCATAAATTCCTCTTTGCTTTAAGTGCATTCACTTCATAGCATGTTAAGCTTTATCTAATGGTTGCATTTTTGCATCTTAGTAAAATAGAGCTTTTAGTCTTGCTGCTTGACCAAACATGTATGCCTTTAAAATTACAGCATGAAAATAGCAGGCTCTTCTATACAGTCTAAGTGTTCATCTTCCACTTGAGCAGTCATGTCACCCTTGCCTCCCAATTGCAATGTAGCCTGTGAAATCATGCATGTTGCAGCCAGCTTGCCATCACACAGGTAGATATGGAAACCTGTGACACAGGCACATCTAAATGAACTGCTCACTGGAGGGAATCAAGTGTCTTGAAAACTGTACAACTGTATTAATCCAGACAAGTTGCAAATATTTTCTACTACTGCCCAATTTGTAGTCAAGCTTCTGGTGAAAGACATATCTTTAACCAAGAAAAAGAGATATATTTGCAATAGAGGGACAGCAAAGGTCGACGAGATTGCTGAGAATGGGAGGTTTGTCACATGCACAGTGATTAGATCAATATGGCAGTAATCATTGGAGTTTAGAATGATAAGAGGGGATTTCACTAAAGCCGGGATGATGTTTCCTTTCACTGGGGAATACAGAATACCGTGGCCAGTGATACAGAATACCGTGGTCACCACCTCAGGATACAGGGTGGGCTATTTCAGAATGTTTCAGACTGAAATAAGGAGAGATTTCTTGAGAGGATGTTGAACCTGTGGAATTCCCTACCACAGTAGGTTGTGGAGGAAATATCACTGAATATGTTTAAGAGATACAGCTGTGAAGATTGGAAACAAGTCAATTTTCAGGTCAGATGCTTAAGATTTTATAGATGAACAAACTGTAGAGAGCTGGGAGAAAGAATTTGGGAAAAGACATTGTTAAATCATGAAAGTCTTATACAAGTATAAAACAAAAAAAAAAAAAATTGAGAAACAAAACATGACAGAAATCCAAGAAAACATAACAGGTCACCTTGAACAAGATGCATGGAGAGTAAAGAGAATTATCGTTCACAGCTCATCCAGTGAGAGATCATGAGAGAACAGTTACAACAGAACTGGAGGTGGAAGGAAGGTAAAACAGAAGTCTTCAGTGGCCCAAGAGTTCAGTGAAAGTAAAATAAATGTACACCAAGGTTATTATCACACCACCTGCTGTATACCAGCAAGGTAAACATTCGAAGTGTGCATTTGCAGGTTAAGTGTCAATGTTAAAGACAAAAGTCTGAAGTGACTCAAAGTTGGTCTCCTTATTGCCCTTCTAATGGTCAGCCATGGATTAGTGGTAGCATTCTCAAACTTAAGGCAAAAAATTGAGGGTTCAAATCTTAGTTGAAGGACTGAAGTACATAATCTATGACGATACTTTGGTGCAGTAGGGGGGAGAGCTGCATTACTAGAGACGTCTATTTCAGACACGCACTAAACTAAGGCCCCATCTGCCATCTCAAGAAGTGCAGGTGATTTCTCCAATATTTATCCTGCAGGCAACACCCAAACAGAGAAACATCTCTGAACAAGTCGATTAACAACATCCCTATTAGCATCTTTTAACTAAAAATGCTCAATTAGAGTCCTCTCAATGCCTCCTTTGGAGGAAAAGGATGGTTCTGCTTGTTTTTTGGGTGGTGCTAGGTCCTATCAAAAATGTGGCTGCAGAAACTGTGATCCTTTGTGCACATGTGGATGCATTCAGACAAATTATGCCACAAAAACATTGCAGCTAAATAAAAATCTGACCAAGATGCTTAAATGCTATTAACTGTCATATCTTTTTTAGAAAGGATCATTTTTAGGGATCAGGTTGTAGACATGCTCGCTGAGCCGGTGGGTTTGGATGTGAATGTCTCGTTACCCTGCTAGGTAACAGTGTCAGTGTGCCTCAAGTGAAGTGTCTGTGTTCTGTCCTGCTTGTTATTTATATGCCTCGGTATTACTTCCGGTTCTGAAGTACTTCCAGCGGTTCAGCGAGCACATCTACAACCCGAGCTACAAATCTTTGAAAACTTTAAACACTTACGGGTGCAAGCTGGCCCGCAGATGGGAAACAAATGCCGTCCAACTGACCATGACCCGCAAACTATACTTCTTGCATGAATGCTTCAGAAAACAGGAACTACCACAAAGCTTAAAGTATAAGCCACAGGCACAGAGGACAGCTGAACAGAACGGATGAGGGTTATGATCAAATGATGCCCACAACCACCTCCACAAATAAGAGCGAGAAATTGCGTGCCAAACCAACTCCGTACTCCAACGCAACTGACCAGGATGGACATCCACACTGGGAAAATGCCATTAGCATACAACAAAAGACCAGAATAGCCCTTCAAGAAAAGCTGTCCAAAAATCACTCATTACAACAACAGAGATACCACAGATTAACGGATTAAAAGCACCTTGGACCGACCACTTACAGACACTGATGACAGTCCTGGTACGTGGACTGCATTATAACTACAGAGACGCCAAAAAGACTGACTTCCTGGCTGCGCTGGAACCGATAGTAAAGAACAACGGACTCACTGAAGTAGTACACCAGACCATCAGACAGACAATAGTCCCAACACAGCAAAAACAAAAAGAAAATGGAACACATTCAACACAGAAGAGGAGCAAGCCCTGGAAAGGCTCAAGACAGGAGCATTGTAATTTACCAGCAGGCAAAGGACGCATGACAGTAATCCTCAATAGAACACAATACGTTGAGAAAGCTAATGCACTACTAGCAGATACCAACACCTACCAATAGATGGTGACAGACCTGACAAGAGTTCAGGAACCAGATTACAACAACCCTGAAGAAATTACACAACTTGGGAGACATCAGCAAGACAGACTACTAAAAAAAATGAAGCCAGAGGGATCCAACACATCCTGATTTTATGAACTCCAAGGTACACAAACTGGCACCCCCACCTCAGACCCATTGTGTCACCACCAGGCACACCTACGTATTGACTTGCCAAAGAACGACAGAAATTGAAATAGTTAGGTTGACAACACTACCCACTCCACCCACTCAAGAATTCCTCAACATCATGGACACAAGGATAGAAGAGGATGAGATGATGAAATCCCTGGATGTAAAGCACTAGAACATAGAACATTACAGCACAGTACAGGCCCTTCGGCCCTCAATGTTGCGCCGACCTGTGAAACCAATCTGAAGCCCATCTAACCTACACTATTCAATTATCATCCATATGTTTATCCAATGACCACTTAAATGCCCTTAAAGTTGGCGAGTCTACTACTTTTGCAGGCAGAGCATTCTACGCCCTTACTACTCTGAGTAAAGAACCTACCTCTGACATCTGTCCTATATTTATCACCCCTCAATTTAAAGCTACGTCCCCTCGTGCTAGCCACCACCATCCGAGGAAAAAGGCTCCAACTGTCCACCCTATCTAATCCTCTGATCATCTTGTATGTCTCTATCAAGTCACCTCTTAACCTTCTCTCTAACGAAAACAGCCTCAAGACCCTCAGCCTTTCCTCATAAGACCTTCCCTCCATACCAGGCAACATCCTGGTAAATCTCCTCTGCACCCTTTCCAATGCTTCCACATCCTTCCTATAATGCGGTGACCAGAACTGTACGCAATACTCCAAGTGCGGCCGCACCAGAGTTTTCTACAGCTGCAACGTGACCTCATGGCTCCGAAACTCAATCCCTCTACCAATAAAACCTAACACACCGTACGCCTTCTTAACAATGCTATCAACCTGGGTGGCAACTTTCAGTGATCTATGCACATGGACACCGAGATCTCTCTGCTCATCCACACTACCAAGAATCTTACCATTAGCCCAGTACTCTGTATTCCTGTTACTCCTTCCAAAGTGAATCACCTCACACTTTTCCGCATTAAGCTCCATTTGCCACCTCTCAGCCCAGCTCTGCAGCTTATCTATGTCCCTCTGTAACCTGCAACATCCTTCCGCACTATCCACAACTCCACAAATTTACTAACCCATCCTTCTACGCCCTCATCCAGGTCATTTATAAAAATGACAAACAGCAATGGCCCCAAAACAGATCCTGGAGGTACACCACTAGTAACTGAACTCCAGGATGAACATTTCCCATCAACCACCACCCTGTCTTCTTACAGCTAGCCAATTTCTGATCCAAACCACTAAATCACCCTCAATCCCATGCCTCCGTATTTTCTGCAATAGCCTACCATGGGGAACCTTATCAAACGCTTTACTGAAATCCATATACACCACATCAACAGCTTTACCCTCATCCACTTGTTTGGTCACCTTCTCAAAAGAACTCAATAAAGGTTTGTGAGGCACGACCTACCCTTCACAAAACCGTGTTGACTATCCCTAATCAAATTATTCCTTTCTAGATGATTATAAATCCTATCTCTTATAATCCTTTCCAACACTTTACCCACAACCGAAGTAAGGCTCACTGGTCTATAATTACCAGGGTTGTCTCTACTCCCTTTCTTGAACAAGGGGACAACATTTGCTAGTCTCCAGTCTTCTGGCACTATTCCTGTAGACAATGACGACATAAAGATCAAAGCCAAAGGCTCTGCAATCTCCTCTCCAGCTTCCCAGAGAATCCTAGGATAAATCCCATTCGGCCCAGGGGACTTGTCTATTTTCACACCTTCCAGAATTGCTAACACCTCCTCCTTATGAATCTCAATCCCGTCTAGTCTAATAGCCTGTATCTCAGTATTCTCCTCGACAACGTTGTCTTTTTCCTGTGTGAATACTGACGAAAAATATTCATTTAGCACCTCTCCTATCTCTTCGGACTCCACGCACAACTTCCCACTACTGTCCTTGACTGGCCCTAATCTTACTCTCGTCATTCTTTTATTCCTGACATACCTATAGAAAGCTTTAGGGTTTTCCTTGATCTTACCTGCTAAAGACTTCTCATGTCCCCTCCTGGCTCTTCTTAGCTCTCTCTTCAGGTCCTTCCTGGCTAACTTGTAACTCTCAAGCGCCCTAACTGAGCCTTCACGCCTCATCTCTACATAAGCCTCCTTCTTCCTCTTGACGAGAGATTCAACTTCTTTAGTAAACCACGGTTCCCTCGCTCGACCTTTTCCTCCCTGCCTGACAGGTACATACTTCTCAAGGACACGCAGTAGCTGTTCCTTGAACAAGCTCCACATTTCAATTGTGCCCAGCCCCTGCAGTTTCCTTCTCCATCCTAAATCTTGCCTAATCGCCTCATAATTGCCTTTCCCCCAGCTATAACTCTTGCCCTGCGGTATATACCTATCCTTTTCCATCGCTAAAGTAAACGTAACCGAATTGTGGTCACTATCACCAAAGTGCTCACCTACCTCCAAATTTAACACCTGGCCTGGTTCATTACCCAGTACCAAATCCAATGTGGCCTCGCCTCTTGTTGGCCTATCTACATACTGTGTCAGGAAACCCTCCTGCACACATTGGACAAAAACTGACCCATCTAAAGTACTCGAACTATAGCGTTTCCAGTCAATATTTGGAAAGTTAAAGTCCCCCATAACAACTACCCTGTTACTTTCGCTCCTATCCAGAATCATCTTCGCAATCTTTTCCTCTACATCTCTAGAACTTTTCGGAGGCCTATAGAAAACTCCCAACAGGGTGACCTCTCCTTTCCTGTTTCTAACCTCAGCCCATACTACCTCAGTAGACGAGTCCTCATCAAACATCCTTTCTGCCGCCGTAATACTGTCCTTGACTAACAATGCCACAACTCCCCCTCTTACCACCTTCCCTGATCTTACTGAAACATCTAAACCCCGGAACCTGCAACAACCATTCCTGTCCCTGTTCTATCCATGTCTCCGAAATAGCCACAACAGCGAAGTCCCAGGTACCAACCCATGCTGCAAGTTCACCCACCTTATTCCGGATGCTCCTGGCATTGAAGTAGACACACTTCAAACCAGCTTCCTGCCTGCCGGTACACTCCTGCGACCTTGAAACCTTATTCATGATCTCACTACTCTCAATCTCCTGTACACTGGAGCTACAATTCAGGTTCCCATCCCCCTGCTGAATTAGTTTAAACCCTCCCGAAGAGCATTAGCAAATTCCGCCCCCAGGATACTGGTACCCCTCTGGTTCAGGTGTAGACCATCCCGTTTGTAGAGGTCCCACCTACCCCAGAATGAGCCCCAATTATCCAGGTATCTGAATCCCAACCCTCCTGCACCATCCCGGTAGCCACGTGTTCAACTGCTCTCTCCCTATTCCTCGCCTCGCTAGCACGTGGCACGGGTAACAAACCAGAGATAACAACTCTGTTTGTTCTAGCTCTAAGCTTCCACCCTAGCTCCTTGAATTTCTGCCTTACATCCCCATCCTTTTTCCTACCTATGTCGTTGGTGCCTATGTGGACCACGACTTGGGGCTGCTCCCCCTCCCCCTTAAGGATCCCGAAAACACGATCCGAGACATCACGGACCCTGGCACCTGGGAGGCAACACACCAACCGCGAGTCTCTCTCGTTCCCACAGAATCTCCTATCTGTCCCCCTAACTATGGAGTCCCCAATGACTAACACTCTCATCCTTTCCCCCCCTTCCCTTCTGAGCAACAGGGACAGACTGTGCCAGAGACCTGTACCCCATGGCTTACCCCTGGTAAGTCGTCCCCCCCAACAGCATCCAAAACGGTATATTTGTTTTTGAGGGGGAACGGCCACAGGGGATCCCTGCACCGTCTGCCTGTTCCCTTTCCGTCCCCTGACTGTAACCCATCTACTTTTTTCCTGTACCTGAGGTGCGACTACCTCCCTGTAACTCCTCTCAATTACCCCCTCAGCCTCCCGAATGATCCGAAGTTCATCCAGCTCCAGTTCCCTAACGCGGTTTCCAAGGAGCTGAAACAATCTATAAACATCTATGAACAAACATCGACCTAGCCAGAGAAACAATTGCCATACTGTTGGATGAAATCAGGCAGGCAGCCCAGGACACCATGAAATTACTAGATCTGTACCTCAACTCACTTCACCTTCAACAACATATTCAAACAAAAATCAACGGAACACAAATGGAATCCCCAATATCAGGGCTGACTGCAGAAGCAGTAATGCAAATGTTAGAACTGACAGTGCTCCCCACTATACAACCCAAACTTTGGGGCAGATATGTAGACAACACTTTCGTAAATTATTAAACGCGCAAAACTAGAAGAAACCTAATGATACAAAAACTTACTGGAATAAAATTCACAAAAAAAAGAGAGAACAAGCACTGACTACTCTTCCTGGATATAAAATGGTAGAATACAAAAACAGGGAACTCCAGACCAGCGTATATAGAAAGACCATACATACGGACCAGATACTCAGTTACACTAGCAACCACCCCAACACCCACAAATGGAGCTGCATCGGCACACTATTTAAACAAACCACAACACTTTGCAGCAACCCGGAACTACCTAAGCAGAACAGGAGCACCTACATGGAATCTTCAAAAGGAATGGACACCCAAAAAGCACAATCTGCCATTACCTCTGGGACAGACCACGACAGGAAGACAACACAACCAGACTCACTAATCACTCATCACCCTACCATAAGGACACTTCAGAGATGATCACAAGATTACTCAGACCCCTAGGTATCAAAGTAGCCCACAAACTGACAACCATCCTACTATGACAGCTACTGGCAAACGTAAAAAGGATCCCATACTCAAAACCAGCAAAACTGAGGTAATATACAAAATACCATGCAAGGACTGAGAGAAACACCATATAGGCCAAACTGGAAGAAAACTGGCAATACAGATACAGGAACACCAACTAGCCACCAAGAGACACGACTAATTCTCACTTGTCTCACTACACATGGACAATGAGGGACAATACATCCATAAAATCACACAAGCCAAACAAACGCATGCCAAGGAATTCCAGGTGGCCTGGTATTCCAACCGGAACTCCATCAATGAACAAATTGAATTAGACCGTGTTCAAACCACAGAAACAAAACTGGAAGTAATACCAACCACCCCAGCAAACCAAGGCATATAAATAACAAGCGAGACAGAACGCCAATGCTTCACTGGAGGCACACTGACAATGTTACCTGGCAAGGTGATGAAACATTTGAATCCAAACCCACCACCTTGGCGAGAATGTCTATAATCTCATCCACAACCCGAGCTACAAATCTTCGAAAAAAAACTTTAGATCTCAGGATCACAGGTCTTTTTTTTTCTTAAAAAAAGCATCCGCAATACTTGGAACAACTTTTCTGTTAATACAATAGATTGCATCACACAAAAACTAACATCTATAGATGAATCCTCAGGATAAGCCAAGTTCCTCTGAGACAAACCATGACAGACGATCTTTACCAGAGACAACAGCTACATTCAAAAGACATTCCATGCATTGCACCTTGTAGTGAATCATTAGAACTAGATAACTATAGATATTATCAAATTCAAATCAGACTTAACAGCAAAAAATTGGCACAATCAGCTAGAAATTACATTATTCAGAGGCAAAGAAAAACTGAAAGAATATTTTCTCAGTCTAACAAAAGCAACGTGGCTGATGATTCACTAAGAAAACAAGTTTTGCTTATGGAGAGGAGATATCATAGGATTTTTAAAATATACATACATAAAATATCCTACATAATTAATAGAGACTAACAGTCACCTATTAATCGCAAGTGTTTGCAAATTAATGCATTATTTCAAAACTTGGCAAAAGCCACACTTAGCCTTGAATATTAAGAAGTCAAATGTAGACCAGATGAGTAAATCACCGAATTGTATGGTGTGACACCCAGGTGCTTATAGAGGGATCAGATTCAGAGTACACTTAAATTTCCAAGTCAGCGAATATTAACTCAAGTCCCATTAAAATTAGCACTTACTATTTTAAGCACCTTTGTTCCAACACTGTCTACAAAATTGACTGGACTGAAATCCAGAATTAAATTGTGTGTGTCAGCTGCTGATTTAATAAAGGCCGTCAGTTTATGGTTTGCTTCAGGTTCCACAATATTCAGAACTCTTGAAGCTCCATTCTGAATCGCTTCATTTGGAACTTCTTCAGACACAGCTTCCTGTTTTGCATCCTCGCTCTGCAGAGCAAACAAAAGATAGACCATGAGAAGGCACCTCATTACAGACTGCTTATTAACTCTACTATAATCATTCATTTAGATGGTCGTAAAGTAGGGTTGATCATTTCCTGAGAGGCAATCTTTACAATATACAAAAGCTAAATACATTCAACTGAGGAATTTTGTTTTTGAAGTCTGGATCAATGTCCAGTTATAGATTGCCAGGACTGTAGAACAAGATGGTCATCTAGCCTCATGAACAGTGCAGACAGCAATGGTTTAATCCCTGGTGCTCAACAGCCATAAGACACAACTTGGTGCGAAGCATTTTCAGTCTGAAAATATTATTTTTACAAACGGATTCTTAAGCCAATGGTTGCAATATACAACAGCAGAATAAAAGTAAAGGTGAAACTTCAAACGATGTGTCGGTGTTTACAGTGGGGCAGCAGTTCACAAGGGCTCATGTTCAATATCTCTTCCAAACAAGAGAATCGGCATCTGCAAATTGGTTTTAGAAACAGGCAGATGTTGTAACATTACAATTAAACAACTTGGTATTTTAGACATCTGAAAATCTAATAGACTCTAGGGGCTTCATTCAAGCTTGTATTCAACTAAGACTAGCTTTCCAGGTGACTTGTACTGTTCTCTCCCAGTTTTATGGTCCTATTGGGAGTTTTGCATGCTTTGATAAAATTTTTAACTTTTCAGATAACTTCAAGAATAGAAGGGCTCAATTTTCAGTGTGTTACCTCAGTGAGGCATGACATTCCCAAAATTAAGTATTGAAATAGAAGAAACATACTGTGATATTTCTATTTCCCCATTTTAGGATACTTCTTCCCTTTCTTTCCACCAACTGAGCTTCCTTCTTAGCTTTTGCTTCAAGTCTTTTCTTTGCCAATAATATTGCAGCTGGATCTATTTCAGTCTGAAAGAATGAAGAAAAACATTTCTTTTTGTAAAAAAAAAGACACACACACACACACATTTATGATTTCCAGCAAGATGTCATTGCAAACTTCTCATTGCTCACCTTCTTATACAAAGCATTCACATATGTATCAACATTTGCAAAGTAAAGAGAGGCATTTGATTGGAATATCTTTACTCCAGGGACTTCTTGTACCTAAAATATAAAACATTTTCCATCATATTAAAAGACAAGAAACAGTTGCTGGTTAATCAAATCCATAATTCCAATCTACTTTCCAATTCACTTAAAAACAAAACTACCAGTGAGACACTGGGTTCTCACCTCCTCATATGCCTCTATGTCCAAGTAGATATCTGTATTAGGTATCTGACCAAGTATTCTGCTCTTAGGACTGCAAGAAGAATTTGGATTTACTGTTACATTAGTTAAAAAAATTAGCATATTACTATGGCTGGTAAGGATGATTTAACAAAAGATATGGCTCAAAACTTAATTCTTAAAACCTTTAAGTGAATACAGACCAAAACAAACCTGTAAACTACAACTTTGCTAAATACACTTTATAAATGCAAAGTTCTTTAAAAAATCCTCAAGTGTTTCACAGCAAACACAAAACATTAGAACACGTGACCAGAAGAGTAGTCAGAAAGGTAGATTTTACAGGGCATCTTAAAAGGTGGTGGTGAGATGGGGAGGTTGCGAGAGGAAATTCAAACCTAGGATCTGTGCAGTTATAGAAGTACTCCGTGGTGGACTGAAGAAAATCAGGGATGTGCAAGAGTTCAGAATTGGAGAAGTACACTCCAATAAGGAATGAGAAAATAAGTGAAGGAGATATACAGAGGAACAGAAGAACTTGAAATGTCTATACATTTCTACAGGCAAATGAGTAGATAATAAGCATACATGATAGTCTCAATGCCCAAGTGCAGGAATCTTTACAAGAACTATATAAAGCATTAGGTAGGCCATTCAGTACAGTATCTCATTCTGGCCACCATTTTAGAGTTAGTCAATTGCAGGTCAGAGGAGGTACAAGGATATTATCCAGACTAGAAGTTTAGCTAGGAGACAAGTTCAGCTGTATGAACTTTTATTACTTTAAAGAAAGCAGAGGGTAGACTTAATTAAGGTATATAAAATTGAGGATCCTGTATAGTGGATAGATATCACCTTTTTGATACGAAAAGGAACTAAAAAGTTGGCTTAGATCTAAAGCAATTTGTCATAGGATTGGGGGGCTGGGGGGGTGGTGGGAGAAAGAACTGGAGTACTTTTTTCTCCCCCAAAAGTGCAGCTCGAGAACCCTCTGTCCGAAAATGCAGTTGAACTAGAAACTCAGATTTAAAAAACAAAAAAAAAAAAGTTAGATTTATACTTGGGAGCACTGTAATCTATATGGCTATGGGCCAGGAGCTGGAAAGTGAGATTAGCAATTTTTGGGTTGACATGGATACAAGAGGACTGAGCAAATTCAGAACCTGAAGGAAGGTTACTGAACCGAAAAGATCAACTCCATTTTCTCCCCACAGATGCTCCCAGACCTGCTGAGTTTCTCCAGCAATTTTTATTTTTCTATATCTGCAAACTTTGAGCCCTCTGCATACTTTGCTCTACCACTCATCTTGGTGTCATCTATGTGTGGTTCCCAACTCCAAATCATCTATGTAAATTATAAAACATTCGTAGTCTCAGCACTGATCCGAGGCACACCACTAATCTCTGTTCGTCAACTAGAAATGCACTCATTTACCCTCACTCTTTGCTTCTTGTTAGTTAATCAATCCTCGATCCATGTTAATACATTGCTTGTAACACCATGCACCTTTATCTTGTGCAGCAGCCTTTTGTGCAGCACCTTGTTGAGTTGGATGAGAATGATGTGATTAATGTGTTAAGGGCACAGACTGGACAAGGAGAAATGGCTCAGTGGTCAGCACTGCTACCTCCCAGTGCCAGGGACCCAGATACAATTCCAGCTTTAGGCAGCTGTGTGGTGAGTTTGCCCATTTTCCCCATATCGCCCCAGTTTCCTCCAGATGCTCCAGTTTCTTCCCACAATCCAAAGTTGTGCAGGTTAGTTGGATTGGCCATGCTAAATTGCCCTGTAGTGTACAAGAATGTGCATGCTAGGTGGATTAGCCATAGGAAATGTAGGGATGGGGTGGGATTCTCTTCAGAGGGTTGGTGTGGACTTGATAGGCCCTGCTTCCACACTATACGGATTCTATGAATAGTTTATCACATACACAAGTGTGGCTTTTTTACAAAAAAAAAATTTCATTTCTGATGGCAGTTGTGGAAGCACGCTTTAAAGGATTTACAAGTTAAACTGGAGAAGACGGACACGTATTTTAAAGTCAACATATCCAGAGACTGAGGAAAGGTAAAATGGAGATTAGAGGTGTTGTAGTGGTTTGCTAGAGCGAAATTAGACTGTTACCCAAGGGGAATAGCAATAAGTGAATTATGGGACCAAAAAAGGGAGAATCCCTAGTTGCTTACCATCCTGTGCCCTTACCTCATCTTGAAAAGGGCCACATAATTTAGTTTGTGATGTGATGTGCTTATTTTAAAAAGAAAAATCGATTCACAATTTTGGAATATTAAGTCAGTTAATAAATTTAAGTAGGCATCCATTAAAGTACTACATAATAAATGCAGCATAATAAATAAATGGAATGTCTCGTCAATTATTATTCAGGTCACATTAGGCCCAGTGCTCTATCTATATTCATGATTTAGTTGAAGATGTTGAGGTATAATTAGCAAGTTTTTGAATGACAAAAACAGATCCAGATGTGTGGTAGAAGCTGGTAATTAAACATCAAAAGCAGTGTTAATCATGTGGACAGAATCACCATTAAACATGATTTAAGCATAAATCAGAATTATGAAGAAACATTTTCATATTAGCTCAACTCTAAAAAGGATCACAATTACTACGAGAAATGATTGCTAAATGATAGACAGAAGATAACGGGCTGGATTCAAGAATGATCCTTTACAGAATAAACTTACTATTTTGGCCCTGCACAAGACCACAGTAGGTCTTCTCTACAGGATTCAAAGCTTAAACACTTCAGGTTACTCAGTTAGGATCAAGGAGTTTGGCCTACAAACTTAGCAGAACCGGTAGATCCAGTTATGATTTAATTGTCTCTTCTTCATTTTATATAGCTCAGTTGTACAGACTAAAATTTAGGGTGGCTTTGTAAGACCGGGGTCACATGCTTAAGTTATACAGTGGGACAGGTTAGGTGCTGGGCAAGTCATCTTTTTCTGGAGAACAGCAGACCTGAGAGCATGTTGTTAGTTTGAGAGGCCAGTGTAAATTCACTATGTACTTTCATGACAACTGAACCAGATCTGCGCTGGGCTGGAGACCCTTCATTACTAAAAAAGGTAGATACTATGTTTATCTAAGTCAGATCCACACAGCTTCCACAAACTAGTTTTTATAGCAAACAATGAGAATAGTGGTTTCCAGATATGTTCCCTGGAATCAATCACAGGTTTTTGATTTGGTTTCACACTGTCGCCAGGAGACCACACAGCACATAAAAAAGGTAGGAAGTCCATTTTGATATGATTCATTATGCATTAGAACTAAACAAGACAAGCTTTTAATTAAGAGATAGTAGGAACTGCCGATGCTGGAGAATCTGAGATAACAAGGTGTAGAGCTGGATGAACACAGCAGGCCAAGCAGCATCAGAGGAGCAGGAAAGCTGACGTTTCGGGTCTGGACCCTTCTTCAGAAAATGATTAAACCACCTTTTTCCTGTTCAACATTTTACATTTACAGCATACCTCCTAATGGATATTTCAGCGAGCAATAAGGAGCGCACCAACTGCAAAGGCAAAATTCTAAACAGCCCAGCAAAATTATGACAATGTCGACTGTGCATATAGTTCAATGACAAATGACGACAGGGTTATAACTAAATCACATACTGTTCAAAGTAGTGAGAAAGCAAGCACTAAATAACAAAATTCAAAAAGAAGTAAAGAAACAACATTTCAGTTATCATGGCACATTTCTTTTTCTAACCTTTGAGTTCGGTAAACAACTGTAATAATGGCAAATAACACTGCAACCAGGAGTCCAAAGTCCAATCCCAAAATGAAAGAGGATGCAAATGCTACAGTCCACAATGCCTGGATCAGAAGAAGATTGTATTCAGTAAAACAAAACATTCATTCATATGCTGAAAAATAAAATAATTGAAGACAAACTAGGAGGTGAAGGGTATGGGTTTAGATCCACAATGTACCATTTGGAGCAGACTCCACCACGAGTCCTGAGCCAGTTCACGAGCAACATCTGCCCAACTACCGCTTTGCCATCACCTTGTCGCCATGTGCGCCAGACCCACCAATGTAGGAACCGCTACTCTTTAGGCACCATCTCTTCGCCGCTGGGCCCACTTTGCCGATACAGAGTCCCATGCAGAACCCATGCTCACCCCACAACGAGTCGTCGAGGGGCTCCATTGCTACCTCGCCAATAACCAGGAATCCTCTCCCTGGGCCTACCATGACTGCATCTAAGAGTCCCTGCTCTGGGCATATCATGCTATAAACAGCCATTAAGGCAGAAACTACATTTAAAAAAAGGAAACCGGATAGGTATTACAAAGAAAAAATAGAATAACAGCAGGAAAAAAAGTGACCAGTGTATTACTTCAGTTGAAAAGCTAACACCAACGCAACTGAGGGATTTGGTTCTGCCCTAAAAATTGCAATGCTTTTATAGTTATTTTGACTCAGTGCAATGTTCTTAGCATACTAACTTCAATAAACCAACTTGAAATATATGTCATCTTTCAAATTGTTTTATTAAGTGTTAGTTAACTGCTACTCAACACTGCATCACCTAGTAACATGCAAGTGCTACTGTTGTGTAATCATCATGCAGTAAACTGTTTACTGCAAGGAGAACTCAGGTAAAGAGAACATTTTAAATTGTTTAAAATCAGAGTAAATCAAACAAAATAGCCAGTCTAGACCTTTAAAATTTAATTTTCAAAAACTGTTCAAATCTTTGCAAAACTGATGTCCATATCTCAAACAAACAAGGTACTACAAAATCCTTTCGGTTTAGCACTGGACTTTGATTTAAGGTCACAGAACGTGGCTGAGGGAGAGACAGCTCAATGTTCTGGGGTACAGACACCGTAGGAATGATAAAAAGGAGGGGAGAGAGGAGAGAGAGAGAGTGGTGTTTTTGATTAGGGAAAACATCGTGGCAGTACTTAGAGAGGATATTCCTGGGGGATCGTTCAGTGAAGCTATATGGGTAGAACTGAGAAACAAGAAGCAGATGATCACTTTGATGGGATTATACTATAGGCCCCCAAACAGTCAGCAGGAAGTTGTGGAACAAAAAATGCAGGAAGATCACAGATAGCTGAGAGAATAATAGGGTTGTAATAGTAGACGATTTTAACTTTCCAAACATTGTGGGACAGCCATAGTGTTAAGGGCTTGGAGGGGGAGGAATTCATTAAGTGCATTCAAGAAAACTCTCTCAATCAATATGTCGATGATCCTACACGAGAAGGGGCAAAACTCTACCATCTCTTGGGAAACAAGGTAGGGCAAGTGACTGATGTGTCAGTCGGGGAACACTTTGGTACCAGTGACCATAATTCTATTGAAGTAGTTGTGGGAAAGGCTGGGCCTCGTCTACAAGTTAAAGGTCTAAACTGGGGCAAAGCCAAATTTTGATGCTATTAGACAGGAACTTTCAAAAGTTGATTAGTGGAGGCTGTTCACAGGTAAAGCGACATCTGTGAAGCGGGAGGCTTTCAAACGCAAAATAACGAGCTCAGGGACAACATGCTCTTGGTGTGAAGAGCAAGGCTGACAGCAGTAGGAAACACTGGATGACTAGAGATATTGAGGACGTGGTCAAGAAAAAGTAGAAGGCATGCATTAGGTATAGACAGCTGGGGTCAAATACTCAAGGGATTCACAGGGGGTATAGGAGTATACTCAAGAGGGAAATCAGGGCAAAAGGGAACATGAGATAGCTTCAGCAGGAAAGGTTAATGAGAATCCAGAGAGTTCTACAAAGGCAAAAAAAGAGTAGCTAAGGAGAAAATAGTGCCCCTTAAAAATCAATGAGTTTTTTTTTGGGGTGGGGGTGGGGGAGATCCTACACAAATAGTGTGTGTTAAGTACTTACTGTAGAGAAAGACATGGAAGCTAGGGAACTCGGAAAATAAATAGCGATGTCTTGAAAAAAAAAAAGTCCACATTACAGAATAGGTAGCGCTGGAGGTCTTAAAAGCATAAAGATAAATAAATCCCTGGGACCTGATCAAGCGTATCCCAGGACAGTGTGGGAAGGTGGGAAGAAATTGCGGGGTTCTAGCAGAGATATTTGTATCATCAACAGCCACAGGTGAGGTGCCAGAGACTGGAAGGTGCTGCAAGAAAAAGCCAGGCAGCTACAGACTGCCAAGCCTGATATCTGTGATGGGTAAGTTGTTGGATGGGATTAAGAGACAGGATCTACATGCATTTGGAAAGACAAGGACTGTTTAGGGGTAATCCGGCATGGCTTTGGGTATGGGAAAAATTTTTTAAATTCGTTAACAGAATGAGGGCATCCCTGGCTAGGCAGCATTTATTGTCCATCCCTAATTGCTTGGAGGGGGCCTCAGAGTCAACCACGTTGCCGTGGTTCTGGAGGAATTAAATGTAGGCCAGACCAGGTAAGGATGGCAGTTTCCTTCCCTAAAAGGACATTAATGAACCAGGTGTGCTTTTTCTGACAATTGACAATGGTCATCATGAGATTCTTAATTTCAGATATTTTACATGGAGTGCAAATTCCACCATCTGCTGTGGTGGGATTAGAACCCAAGTCCTTAGAACGTTATCTGGATCTCTGGATTAACACTCCAGTGATAATACCACCAGGCTATCGTCTCCCAAACTTGATTGGGTATTTTGAAGAGGTGACCAAGAAGATAGGTTAAGGCAGCAATTAAGACACCAAAATTGGCAGTATAGTGGACAGCAAAGACAACTACAACAGAATCTGATCAAATGGGCCAGTGGGCCGAGGAATGGCATTTAAAGTTTAATTTAGATAAAAGTGAGGTGTTGTATGTTGGCAAAACAAACTGGGGCAGGACTTACTGTTAATGGTAGGGCCCTGGGGAGTAGAACAGAGACACCGAGGGTAACAGGTACATAGTTCATTGAAAAAAGTGTTGTAACAGGTAGACGGTGTTGAAGGTAGTACTTGTTACGCTTGCCTTCGTTGGTCAAAGCATTGACCACAGGAGTTGGGATGTCATGTTATGATTATACAAGACATTGTTAAAGTCACATTTGGAGTACTATGTACAATTCTGGTTGTCCTACTGTAGGAAGGACATTAAACTGAAAAAGGTGCAGAAAAGATTTACAATTATGACACCAAAACTGGAATGTTATAAAGGAGGGGCTGGAACTTCTTTTCCAGGAGGCCAAGGGTGACCTTAGAGGTTTATAAAATCATGAGAGGCATAGATAAGGTGAATGGCAAGGTCTTTTCCCTAGGGTGGTGAGCAGGGGGGTGGGAAGGGAACAGTTCAAAGCTAGAGAGTATAGGTTAAGGTGAGAGAGAAGGGAAAAGTTTTGAAAAGGGTCCGATGGGCAACTTTTTCATGCAGAGGGTAGTGCGTATATGGAACAAGCTGCCAGAGGAAGTGGTACAGCCAAGTACAATTACAATATTTAAAAAACATTTGGACAGGTACATGAATAGGACATGTTTGGAGCTAAATGGGACTAGTTCAGTTTAGGAAACCTGAATCAGCATGAACTAGTTGGAACTAAAAAGGTCTGTTTTCGTGCTGTAAGACTGACTAATTCCAGGGGCTTTGGAAATAGGTCAAATTTTGTAAGATAGTTCTGGTTATGGGATACTGCAGGAAGAAATTGCCATGCAGGTTGTTATAGGACAGCAAGTCATTTGTTGAGTTGCAATCCTGTCTAGCTTCAGCAATTAACAGCATCTAAAGTTTTTAATTCGTTCCCCTTCTTTTATGCCATCTCATTACATCAAAAGCATGTCAGTTGCATCAATAACATACTGCTCTACTGTTCTGTTTCCAGTCGTATATTCACTAGTGGGGAGTGGGTTAATGTTTCCAGAGGTAGTACTAGGACAGAGTATGGAAAGGTTCAAGTATCTAACTTCAGGCACAGCAGATAAAAGGGGACAACTACGAGAAGGGCCGTCAACGCACGACTGAAGGTGTTGTACTTAAATGCAAACGGTATTTAAAACAAGACAAATGAGCTTATAGTGCAGATTGAAATTGGCAAATATGATATTGTGGGTATCAGGGCTGGGAAACAAAATATCTATTGAAAGGACAGGCAGAGAGGGCAGCGTTGCCATGATTGTAAGAAATTGATAAGAAGCGATAGAGCTGGAAGGTGTGGAATCTGTGTGGGTTGAGACGAGGAACACCCAGCAAAAGGTAAAAAGACAAATGATGAGAGATGTCTAGGCTTTTTAGTAGTAGTCAGAAATTGGGGAAGAAACTAAATTAGGAGATAGAAAAGGTACGTTAGAAAGGCACTTACACAATAGTTATGAGAGACTTCCACATGCAGGTGGACTGATAAAATCAGGTTGGTCGCAGATCCGAAGAAAAGAAATTCATAGAATGGTTACAAGATGGTTTCTTGGAACAGCTTGTGGTAGAGCACACCATGGAACAAGCAATTCTGGATTTAGTGATGTGTAACGAGGCCGACTTGATTAGGGACATGAAAGTGATGGATCCCCCAGGGGGGAGTGACAATAACATGATAGAATTCACACAGCAGTTTGAGGAGAAGATTACTCAATTGTAATACTGTTACATTGGATTCAATGGTAATTACAAAGATATGAGGAAGAAGCTGGCCAGAGCTGATTGGAAGGAAAGCCTAACAGGGAAGATGGTACAGCAGCAATGGCAGGGGTTTCGGGGGTAATTTGAGGCACAGCAAAAATTCATCCCAAAGACAAAACATATTAAGGGATGAGGCAAATATGGCTGATAAAGGAAGTCATGGACAGCATAAAAAGCAAAAAGAGAAAGCATACAATATAATGAGGATTAATATGAAGTCAGACAGTTAAGAAGCCTTTTAAAAACCAGCAGAGGAAAACTAAAAGCACAAATCGGGGGAGGTGGAGGTTGAAAAGATGAAGAAATATGAAGGTAAGCTAGCTATAATATAAAAGATGATTGCAAGAATTTTTTTTTAAGACATCTAAAAGAGAGAAGGAATGTACGTTGCATCACTGGAAAATGCTGGAGAAGTAGTAATGGGAAACAAATGGCAGGAGGAACTGAATAGGTACTTTGCATCCGTTTTCACAGAAGAAACCAGAAACATATCAAAACTTGAAGTCAGTCAGGGGGCACAGGTGAGTGTACTGGCCAGCACTAGGGTGGTGGTTTGGGGAAGCTGAAGATAGATAAATCACCCAGACTGGATGGACTACGGCCAGAGTTCTGAAGGAGATAGCGGAAGAGATTATAGAAGCATTGGCAGTGATCTTTCAGGAATCACTGGAGTCAGAGAAAGTCCCAGGAGGACTGGAAAGTGGGTAATCTAACACTCGTTTAAGGGAGGCAGGCAGAAGATAGGTAACTATAGGCCAGTTAACCTGATCTCAGTCATTTGCTAAGATTCTGAAGTCCATTAAGGATGAGATTGCAGAGTACTTGGAAGCATATGGTGAAATATGAAATCAAGGGAAGGCATATCTGACAAATGTTAGAATTCTTTTAGGAGGTAAGAAGCAAACTAGAAAAGGAAGTAAGTGTCAGTGGACATGATCTATTTGGATTTACAAAAGGCCTTTGACAAGATGTCGCACAGGAGGCTGCTAAATAAGACAAGAGCCCAAAACAGCGTTAGGGACAAGGAACAGGCATGGAGAGAAGATTGGCCAACTGGTAGAACACAAACAAGTAGGGATAAAGAGGTCTTTTTCAGGATGGCAACAGGCAACTAGTGGAGTTCTGGAGGGGTCAGGATTGGGACAATAATTGTTAGTGTATGTTCTCTATTCATGACAATCTTGAAGGAAGTGAGGGCATTGTGTAACCTGCAAAAATTAGCAAAGATTGTTGGAGGGACAGGTAGTGGGAAGACTGCGTAAGGACATGCTATGCGAGTGGGAAAAGTACCAGCAGCTGGAATACATTGTGGCAAAGTGTGAAGTCATACATTTTGCTATGAAGAATACAGGGGTAGACTATTTTCTCAACAGGGAAAGACTTTGGAAATCTGAAATGCAAAGGGACTTGGGAGTCCTAGGATTTTCTTAACGTTAACATGCAAGCTCAGCTAGCTTTAGGAAGGCGAAGGCAAGTGCAACGTCCACATTCATTTCAAGAGGGCTAACAAACAAGGGCAAAGGTGCACTGTTGAGACTGTACAAGGCTCTAGTCCAACCACATCTGGAAAATTGTGGGCAATTTTGGCCTCCTTAACAAAGGAAAGATGTGCTGGCAATGGAGGGGGTCCAGGGATGGTTTATAAGAACGTTCCTGGAGATGAAGAACTTGGCATACAAGGAGCGGTTGAGGACCCTGGATCAATACTTTGTGTTTAGAAGGTCAGGGGGTGTTGGGGTATGAGGCGAGTTTAGTGGCAGTGATGGGAATCTGATCGAAGGTTACAGGGTACTGAGACACCTGGATAGGGTGGCTGAGAAGATGTTTCCACTAGTAGGGGAGACTAGGGCCTAGGAGCACAGCCTCAGGGTAAAGGGAAGACCCTTTATAACAGAGGAGTTTGGCCAGAATGTGGTGACTCTATGGAACTCGTTGTTGCCAAGGGCTGTAGAGGCCAAATCACTAAAAAGTGTATTTAAGGCAGAGACAGATAGGCTCTTGATTAATAAGGGGTTCAAGGATTACAAGAAGATATAAGAATGGGATTGAGAAACATTAGCCATGATAGAATGGCAGAGCAGACTCAATGAGCTGAATGGCCTAACTGTGCTCCTACATGGTCTTAAGTAGATAAAGGAAGGGAACATTTCTCCAGAATTTAACTCATGCACACGCACTGATCATTGATTTTTAGCCACTTACGTAGAAACAAACAAACAATTTGCATGAATCAGACACCAATGTACTTTCTACATCAGAAATAGCTTGCTTGTCTGAATCAGATCAATGCACAACTTTGACTTATTTCAATTTGCTATAGATCTCTCCTTTTAAGGAGTTCCACCACTTTTGAAAAAAGCCTGCCACACCAATACTTTCACTTATACATTCACCAATATAGAAACCAGAATTTTTTAAAAAAATGTGCACAAGTACAAAAAAGAAAATAATGCTAACATAGAAACATAGAAGTTAAGAGCAGGAGGCCATCTGGCCCTTCAAGTCTGCTCTGCCATTCTTCACGATTATGGCTGATCATCCAACTCAATAGCGTAATCCTGCTTTCTCCCCATAACTTTTGATCCCATTCACCCCAAGTGCTATACCTAGTCACCTCTTGAATACATTCAATGCTTTCACACAACTGCTTTCTGTGGTAATGAACTCCACAGGCTCACCACTCTTTGGTGAAAAAAAGGTCTCATTTCCATCCTAAATTATCTACCCAGAATCCTCATACTGTGACCCCTGCTCTGGACACATCCACCATCAGGAACATCCTCCCTACATCTACCCTGTCCAGTCCTTGTTAGAATTTTAAGTCTCTATGAGATCCCCCTCATTTGTCTCTGATTTATCAGTGATTAGACTTCAGTTTAATGCAAAGACCCGAGAACCTGGAAACGTTCTCTTCACAGCAGAGAAAGGTTGAGGAGCAATTCGATGAAGCTATTCACCAAGGGTCAAAAATGTTGCTCGGGATAAACTGTTTTTATTTTAAGGATGGTCAATAATCAGAGAGTATAAATTTAAAGATAATTAGCAAAAAGGCTCAGGTGGAATGGGAAGAATTGTTTTTGTGCAAATTATTTAGAATGCACTTCCTGAAAGTGGTCAAAACAAGATTTTAGTAACTACATTTTCTTGACAAGGAAAACATATACAGCAATATGGAGGAACAGCAGGGATAAAATGCCAAGGCTAGTCATTTGAAAGAGCAAGTGTGTTGAATGTTTCCTAATTGCAAAACAAAATAAATAACTACTGTAGAATAATTAGAATTACATACTTCAGCACAAGAGCGAAAGGTAGGAAGCAATTTCATTGACAACATGAATTGTTTAACAAGATACTTCAGCTGCAACAACCTCACTGGTCATTGGCACATTACAAATCATCCAGCTTCTGGAACAAAATATCTCAAACAAAAAGCACATTTACACCATTCACTGTGGGCGCGCAGTTTTTAAAAATATTTAAATTAATTGAAAATAATTTGTGCACTATGGATGCTTTAAGTGAAGACCACTGCAAAATTGCCACAACCAAAGAAGCAATGCTGTAGTTTGGAATCAGGGCAGCATTCACAGAATCTCTGAAATCACTGTCCTTTCTCCAATAAAGATTTTTGAAAACTAAATTACAACATACAGGAGCCCCCAATTTATGAACATCCAGTTTACAAATGCAATCTCATACAATGGTGTCATTTTAAAGATCCAATATATGAATGTTTCTTGTACTTATGAACAGCTATTTTTCGTTGTCTTGCATGGTATTCCAACTTGCCATACAAATCTAAATCACAAACAGACTCCAGAACAGAACTTGTTTGCAACCTAGAGACTGCCTGGATGCTGTTTAACCTCGTCCTCATACCTGAATCTGTAAACTTTCAGGTGTATACTACATAGCAGAAAATGGACACCCAAATGGAGAAATGCTTCAAACTTGGGTGCATTTGCTATGGGTGACATGCTTCATGTCCTTACAGAAACCTAGAAATATATACCATAATTATGCTGCTTTTTTTTTTTTAAATTGGAGGGAAAAAAAGAGGGCAGTTTTCAGCTATATTGTTCTTCAGTCCACAATTCACTTGAGAAAAATAGAAAAATGTATGAAAGCAAAGTTAGAAATTACTATTTTTTTAATGCAATCAGTAAACATTTACTGTAAGTATTCTTTAAGGAAAATGTTATCTGTATAGGTTGGATTGCAAAATATCATCCGTATGAATGTACAAATATATTTCAGTAAATCCTAAGCAAATTAGTGAGAAATTTTAATGTTGTCAGCCACTTTCTTATCAATTTCTACAAAAGACACTAGTCCTCAATTCAAAATAGGATTTGCAGGTGGGTATATATAATTTATGCATTGCCCTACCTAGTTACTACTGGGGAAGAGCAAAAACTAAGTGACATGCATATTAACTATTAAATTAAACCAGTTAAGGCACAACACTAAACAACTGATAGAATACAAAGCTGGTAATGTGGCTATAATTGTGGGGGATCTTCTGGTCTTGAAGCAGAGCCTCTATACCATCCGTAAGGTTGGGAGCTTATGGACATTTGTTTTGCGTCTATCCTGATTAGTAAGGGGATCAAAAGGTTACGGGGAGAAGGCAGGAGGATGGGGTTGAGAAATATATCAGCCATGATCAAACATGGACCAAAACTGGAGTCAAATGGCCTTATTCTGCTCATATATCTTATGATCTTATCTGCAATTTACTACATACACTTGGAAAGGCAATTTGCAAAAGGTAAAAGGTAAATGTAACTAATTTACTCAGATCATCTCTAAACCAGGCAATTTAATTACTTTCTTGATTTACTCAAGTGTCTTTACTGTTGATGTCCTGCAAAACAAGTAACAGGTGAAATTATTAAGATGCTGAAAAGCAATCTGCAATACCAATATCCCTCACTTTGACAATATATACTTTCAACAAATACGTCCAACATATCGCAGTACTTACAAATTCAATTTTGCAGATTCGCCAGAGAGATGGCATATCCCGAAACTGCTTAAATACCCCTTTCAGGTTCACCATCACAATTGCAGCTAGCACAGTCTGCAAGAAATTATTTTGAGTTCTAAATCAGAGGTTTGAGAATGCTGCAAATTAATTTGACATTAAGAACCATCACCTGTAATATCAAAACATTTTAAAGATCCATTTATACAAATTTTAATTATTTACAATCCAAATTCTAATACACGACAGTTTAGCAAGTTTAACCAAAATTCTACACAAAAGTCACAAAATGAGTAGAACAATACTTATTCTTTGAATTACATTTTAACATCCAAATCACTGCCCTTATCATATTGTGCGTCACTTAACACCTGTGCTCAATAACATAGTGGCTCCTGATGTAGAGTGCCTCAATTTAAAAGATTCTCATTCTTGATTTAAACTATACTCAATAGCTTCACTCATCATCTCCATTAGCTTTTCTCATCCTACAGTCCACCAAGATCTCATGCTACTTCAATTCTTCCTGCTTGTGCATCAGATTTTAAAACTGCTCCACAATGGCAACCACACCTTCAGCTACTAGGGTCTCAAGCTCAAATTCCCTTCCTAAAATTCTTCACTACTCTAGCACTCTCTCCTCCTTTAAACACTGTTTTAAAATACAACATTTTCATCACCTGCCCCAATATCTCCTTACTGGTTCAATAAAGTGTTTGTGAAGCTTTAGGATGTTTAGTACTTTGGATACACTATCATTGCAAGCTGTTGATAATGCTTATTGTTCTTCTCCACCCAGCCCCCTCACTTTACTTCTCTCAGCACTGGAAAAAAAAAGCATTTTTTTTTTAAAAACACAAGTTTCCAGTTCTTTTTTAAATTCAAGAGATGTGGGCATTGCTGGCAAGACCGCCATTTATTGTCCATCTTCAGTAGCTGATGACGATAGCAGTGAGCTATTTTATACCACTGCAGTCCTTGGGTTGGAGCAACATCTCAACACAGTAGAAGTTGGTAATGAAAAGAGGCACAGATACTAAAATTGTAGTTTGCCTGCCTCCTGCATTAGTCCATTATCTGGTGGCAAAGGTCACTTCATACAACATTATTGTTCTACCAAGTTGACTTAGAAAACAAAAGTATTTAAAGAAACTTATATTGCCGAGTCTGCTCTAGAACTTGATCAGGCTCTTAAAGTGGAACCACCACCACCCCTCCATGTGGGCCTCATATTAATAGCACAGACATTGTTAAAGTACCTCAAATACAATCAGCAAATGACCTTGCTGCCTTTAGAACATAGAACAGTACAGGCCCTTCAGCCCACAATATTGTGCAGACCTATTATCCTGCTCGAAGATCAAAACTAACCTCCATCCCCTTCATTTTACTACCATCCAGTGCCAATCCAAGAGTCGCCTAAATGTCCCTAGTGTATCTGGCTCTACTACCACCGCTGGCAGTGCATTCCACACATCCACCACTCTGTGCAAAGAACCTACCTCTGACATCTCCCCTATACCTTCTTCCAAATCACCTTAAAGCTATGCCCCCTCATGATAGCCATTTCCACCCTGGGAAAAAGTCTCTGGCTATCCATTCTATGCCTCTCATCATCTTGTACACCTTTATCAAGTCACTTCTCCTCCTTCTTCACTCCGATGAAAAAAGCCCTAGCTCTCTCAACCTTTCCTCAATTGGACTTGCCCTCCATACCAGGCTGCTTTCTGGTAAATCTCCTCTGCACCCTCTCTAAAGCATCCACACCCTTCCACCCTTCCAATAATGAGGCGACCAGAACTGAACACAATATTCCAAGTGTGGTCTAACCAGGGTTTTAGAGCTGCAGCATCATTTTTCAGCAGCAGAGGGAGAGGCGACAGCGAGGACCAGGGGGCTGCCGGGAATATATTTATCTATTAATTGGTTATTTGAAAAGACCATAGCAGAGAGATATTAGAAAGTATTTAACTCATAAATTGATATGAAGTAATTAACTAAGTAGAGATGGCTGGGCAGGTGATGCGCATTAGCTGTATGATGTGGGAGCTGGCTGATCCCATTGTGAACGGCAGTGACCACATCTGCAGCAAGTGTTGGTTGCTAGAAGAACTTCGGCTCAGAGTTGAAGATCTGGAATCTGAGCTTCAAACACTGCGGCACATCCAGGAGGGGGAAGAGTTACCTGGACGCTTTGTTTCAGGAGGCAGTCACACCTGGTAGATTAAGTAATTCAAATTCAGTTAGTGATCAGGGACAACAGGGTGTGACTGCAAGTGAGGCAGGTAGGGGGATCCTGAGTTCAGGAGTGGAGGAGCCTCAGCTTTTCACCTTATCCAACAGGTACGAGATGCTTGCTCCCTGTGTGGATGAGGAAAAAGGGCTGTGGGGAGGATGAGCCAGCTCACCACGGTGCAGAAGGCCATTCAAGAGGGGGGAGCAAAAAGACAAGTGGTAGTTATAGGGGATTCTATAGTTAGGGGGATAGATAGTATCCTTTGCAAGCCGGATCGGGAGTCCCGCATGGTGTGTTGCCTGCCCGGTGCTAGGGGCAGGACATCTCTGACCGGCTTGAAAAGGATATTGGAGCGGGAGGGGGAGGATCCAGTTGTTGTGGTCCACGTTGGGACTAACAACATAGGCAAGGCTAGGACGGAGGACCTGTTTGGGGATTATCAAGCACTAGGAACGAAATTAAGGAACAGGTCCTCGAGGGTCATAATCTCCGGATTACTGCCCGAGCCACGTGCAAATTGGCTTAGGGATAAGAAAATTAGGGAAGTAAACACGTGGCTAAGGGAGTGGTGTGTGGAAGAGGGGTTCCATTTCATGGGGCATTGGATCAGTTTTGGAACCGGAGGGATCTGTACCGATGGGACGGTCTCCACCTGAACCGATCTGGAACCAGTGTTCTAGCGAAAAGGATAAATAGGGTGGTCACTAGGACTTTAAACTAGTGAGGTGGGGGGTGGGGGGTGGGGGGGGAGGGAAAATGACGGAGTATGATGGTAAATAAAAAGGTAAGCAGCAGGTTAGCATGTGTGCAGGATGGTTTAAGTTCAAGGCAGACTATGAAAGAAGCAAAAAGGAAGGATAACTCAGGAGATATTATTACAGATGTTGGAAATCATGAGGGTAAGAAAGTTAGCATAAAGGCACTTTACCTGAATGCTCATAGCATTCGTAACAAGGTTGATGAGTTAACGGCACAAATCATCGCGAATGAATATGATTTGGTAGCCGTTACGGAGACATGGTTACAGGATGGTCACGACTGGGAGTTAAATATCCAAGGGTACCAGACTATTTGGAAGGACAGACAGGAAGGTAAGGGAGGTGGTGTAGCTCTGATATTCAAGGATGACATCAGGGCGGTGCTGAGAGATGATATAGGTTCTATGGAGAATGAGGTTGAATCCATTTGGGTGGAAATTAGAAATTCTAAGAGGAAAAAGTCACTGATAGGCGTAGTCTATAGGCCACCAAATAATAACGTCACATTAGGGCAGGCAACAAACAAAGAAATAACTAATGCCTGTAAAAATGGTACAGCAATTATCACGGGGGATTTTAATCTACATGTAGATTGGTCGAACCAGCTCGGTCAGGGTAGCCTTGAGGAGGAGTTCGTTGAGTGTATCCGTGATCGTTTTCTTGAACAGTATGTAATGGAACCGACGAGGGAGCAAGCTATCCTAGATCTGGTCCTGTGTAATGAGACACGAATAATTAATGACCTCATAGTTAGGAATCCTCTTGGAAGGAGTGATCACATTACGGTTGAATTTAGAATACAGATGGACAGTGTGAAGATGAAATCCAATACCAGGGTCCTGTGCTTGAACAAGGAACTACAATAGAATGAGGGAGGACTTGGCTAAAGTAGACTGGAAACAAAGATTTTATGGTGGGACAGTTGACGAGCATTGGAGGACTTTCAAAGCAATTTTTCAAAGTGCTCAGCAAAAGTATATTCCAATGAAAAGGAAGGACTGTAAGAAAAGGGGTAATCTGCCATGGGTGTCTAAAGAAATAAGGGAGGCGATCAAATTGAAAGAGAAAGCATACAAAGTGGCCAAAAACAGCATGAAACTAGAAGATTGGGAAAACTTTAAAGGTCAACAGACAGCCACAAAAAGAGCTATAAAGAAAAGTAAGATAGAACACGAGAAAAAACTAGCACAGAATATAAAGGCAGATAGCAAAAGTTTCTATAAATATATAAAACGAAAAAAAAGAGTGGCTAAAGTAAACGTTGGCCCTTTAGAGGATGAGAAGGGGAATTTAGTTATGGGATATGATGAAATGGCCGAGGCATTGAACAGGTATTTTGTATCAGACTTCACAGTGGAGGACACTAATAACATGCCAGTAATTGACAAAGAGACGAAGGTAGGTGAGGACCTAGAAACAATTATTACGGAAGGGGTAGTGTTGGGCAAGCTAATGGAGCTAAGGATTGATAAGTCTCCTGGCCCTGATGGAATGCATCCCAGGGTAATAAGAGAGATGGCAGGAGACATAGCAGGTGCACTGGCAGTAATTTTCCCAAAATTTGCTGGACTCTGGGGCAGTCCCAGCAGATTGGAAAACAGCAAATGTGACGCCACTGTTTAAAAAGGGAAGTAGACAAAAGATGGGGAATTATAGACCGGTTAGCTTAACCTCTTGTAGTGGGGAAGATGCTCAAGTCTATTATCAAGGAAGAAATAGCAAGGCATCTTGATAGAAATTGTCCCATTGGGCAGACGCAGCATGGGTTCATAAAGGGCAGGTCATGCTTGACAAATCTTTTGGAATTCTATGAAGAGATTACGAGCAAGGTGGACAATGGGGACCCAGTGGATGTGGTGTACCTAGATTTCCAAAAGGCCTTCGACAAGGTGCCGCACAAGAGGCTATGGCATAAGATAAGGATGCATGGCATTACGGGTAAAGTATTAGCATGGATAGAGGATTGGTTGACTAACAGGAAGCAAAGAGTGGGGATAAATGAGTGCTATTCTAGCTGGCAGTCAGTGACTAGTGGTGTGCCTCAGGGATCGGTGTTGGGACCGCAATTATTTACAATTTATATAGATGATTTGGAGTTGGGG